CTCACCCAGACAAATCCACAACACCCACATCTCCACACCTGTCTCTCCCCCATCCAATCCCACACCATGGACACAACCCCACACATCCACACACGCCTCCCTCCCATCCAACCCCACAAGCCTACTCAAGACCACACAAAGTCCCACACCTCCACACCCGCCTCTCTCCCATCCTACTCCACAACACTACACAAACTTCCACACCTCCAAACACACCCCCTCTTATCCAACCCCACACTACACAACACACAGTCACACACTTCCACACCCGCCTTTCTACCATCCAACCCCACAACACTACACAAACTCCCACATCTGCACACCCACCTCTCTCCCATCCTACTCCATAACACTACACAACCCCACACAAACTCCCACACCTCCACACCCGCCTCTCTCCCATCCTACCCCACACAAACTCCCACACCTCCAAACCCACCTCTCCCATCCTACTCCTCAACACTACACAAAATCCCACCCCCACCTTCTACCATCCAAGCCCACACAAACTCCCGCACCTCCACACCTGCCTCTGACCCCTACAGCCCGCACTCCCTGCCCCAACTCATACACACGCTCCCCTACCACACAGCTCCTACACAACACACAAACGCACCTCTTCCTCCGTAGGCCACCCCAAACTTTGCCCTCTGTGACACGACAACATGCCAGCACATTGCCCAACCCCTCATGCCTGTGGAGAAATACCCCCCCTCCACGATGCCTGCTCACCCCCACACACGGCTCATCCCTGGGGCCCCCCACCTCTCACACTGAGGCGGGTGTAGGGGAGTTGGGGATAGCTCAGAGGGGGGCAGAGGGGTATCCCAGAGGCGCCGGGTTGGGGGCACTGAGGGGGGGTCCCTACCTCTCCGTTTCCTTGGCATCACGGTGCCCGGCATGGGGGTGGGCAGTGGGGGGGGGAAGAGACACACGCTAATCTCATAATCTGCCTTCCCAACAGCTGCCAGCTTAAAAGATTGGGAGCCCGGCAGAATTGTGGGTAGCGTAGTTCTTGCCCCAGGGTGGGGCGGAGCTGCAAGACACAGCCGTGGGGCGGGGGAAAACTGGGGGCAACTTGAAGCGTGATTCCAGGGGCAGATGACTTTTTGCTGTTGGCCGAGCTTGAACTTTTGAAAATGTCCTCCCAAGGCTAGGCCGCGGGCGTTTACACGGCGCCTGCCTGGGGGCCGGAGGGGTGTTTCCCCGACTGCCCAGAAACTGAGTTGAATGAAACCACCACTGTCACAGACTTTGCCAACCCCAAAATCCGGAGGCAGGCTCCCCCCAATATCATGAGATTGCCTGATTTTGAAGCCAATTATGTGAAAAATAATAGATGGGGGGTTCTTTTTCTTTGCCTTCTGCAAGAAGAGAACAAAGCAATGGAAAGACAATGAATTTAAAGCTTGGTTCACCTTTGGAACTCCATGCCACATGATTATCTGACCAGCACACCATATAAATTGAGAAAAATTTTCATTCAGGATCCTAAAAATATTTACAATCATTTGCATTCATTCACTGTTTAGATTATATTAATAGATTACCCATATACGTTAACAATCATCTTTGTATATATGAGCGTTTATATGAAATATAACATGTAAAGATGTTCTATATATTAAAAATAGTTACATAATATTAAATATACAATGATGTAGTCTGTTATATTAAATACATCTAAAGATATATTAGCATAGGGTTACCATACGTCCTTTTTTTCCCCGGACATGTCCGGCTTTTCGGCACTCAAACCCCCGTGCGGGGGGAATTGCCAAAAAGCCGAACATGTCCGGGAAAATGGCGGCTCTGCTCCTCCCCGACTCTTCGGCTCTGTTTAAGAGCCGAGCTGCCTGAGCGCTATGGGCTTCAGGCAGCCCCCTTGCCTCCAGACCCTGCGCCCCCAGCCGGGCACTTCCCCTCCCGGGCTCCGGCGACGCTGGGCAAGCGCCGGCCGGGGGCACAGGGTCTGGGGGCTGCCTGGCAAACCGTAGCGTTCGGGCAGCCCTTTCCGCGTGGCTGGGAGTGGGAGGGGGCGGAGTTGGGGCAGGACTGGGGAAATGGGCGGGGCCAGGGCCCATGGAGGGTCCTCTTTTTTTATTTAATAGATATGGTAACCCTATATTAGCATAGATAGATTATACAACTTTAGAATAGAATAAATGTGTACTAGTTAACCTTATATATATTTAATTTTAAAATATTAAAAAAATATACAAAGTACATATTAAATATACATATATTTATCTCTATTTTAACTATAATAGGTAAAGTGTATGATATTTACATATAGACTATTAAATATACAACCATTATCGATGAATCTTTATTTACTAAAATGTTAATTATATACATTATTAAATGTACAAAGATCTTTGTTATATGCAAAGATGTATTATCCTTATGTATGTTAATAGATATATTAATTATAAAGATTTATCTTTCATCTTAAATATTATATACATTATAGTTACAACTTTGTAAGGAACATTAAATTATACAGAGATTAATTATAAATATATTTGTTATATTAAATCTATGGAAATATGTATTTTTACATGTATTATGTATAATAGTAAATACAACATACAACTATTTTATTAAATAGAAATATGTATTATCTTTCCATGTATTAGATATCTATATTATTAACGGTAATATACCATTTATTATATTAACTATAAAGATGCATTATCTTTACATACATTAAATATGCAACCATTATATTAATTCTAAAGATGTATTGTCTTTACTTGCATTAAATATCTATATGGAATATAATATACAATCATCTTAATTATAAGGATGTATTATCCTTACATATACTAAATATCTAGAATATTAAATGTAATATACCACCGTTTATTGTCTTAATTATAAACATGTAGTCTGTACATATATCAAAGTATATACATTGTATTAAATATACAAATGTGCATTATCTGTCATGTAAATACATATAAAGATGTATTATTGTTCCATATACATATGAAAATATACAGATTACGTTAAATGTATATCGTTATTTTCATATTAAAATATTATACATACTAAATGCACTAAGCAAAGATTTCTTTTTATATCACATAGCCGATGTCATTATCTACCTCAAATTAAATAGGCCTCACCCTGAATGTAACATGTAAGAAACTAACAGCAATCCCCGATATTGCCGTGAAAAGTTGCAATTTTGCCGAAACGGCCTGGTTTTGGCTGGAAAACTCATGAAATGATTTGAACCAGCTGCGCAGTTTTATGGCTAATTCGCCCATTTGCTCTCAGTGCCGGGATATCACAGGCCGTTCCATCCCCCTGGCTTCGAACACAGGAATTTGGGCTTAGCCAGAGCATCGCCCGGGCCTCGTATGTGAAGCCAGCTCTGCCACGGCCGTTGGCAGCTGGGTCCGACGGCCAGTGTCCCTCGCGGTTACAAATCGGTCCCGACGTCCCGACGTCCGGCCGTTGGGCCTGGCTCGGCCGCGCTCCACTAGACGCAAGAGCATGTTGATACCCGGGGTTTTCTCCCCACCAAGGGCTATAGACCCTGGACCCCAGGTCACTGCATTTCCAGAAGCCAAACAGTTCACAAGCAGGAAGGCATTTTTATCCAACCCTCTGCCTCCTCTCCAGAATCGCCACCAACTCTTTAAACGGCACACACCTGAACTGGATGCCATTTTCCAGCATCAGGCTCACCAATGACATATACTGGGGTAAATCGCACGCTCGCCTTGCTTTCTGCCATGAATTTAAGCTGATAACCTGTGGAACTCCTTGCTACATGACACTGAATCAGCCACGGGATTGCTATAGCCAGGGATACCATTTCTAGATCTGTTGCTGATTCCCCACCATGTGATGAGGTCCGAGCCCAAGACAGGGGCATGGAGAATTATGAGGTTGTTAAGGGTTGTTAATGCGCGGGACTCCCTGCCACATGATGGTGGGTGAGGCAACCGCTTGGGATGCTTACGTAGATCACGAGAACCTTGGACTGACCTTCAATCCAATTAATTAGAGCCAGGACCAAATAATGAGGGGTGGGGATAGGGCAGTGACAGGATACCGGGCTAAATGGGCTCATAGTCTGATCCAGGATGGCAGGGAGGGGCCGGGATATCGGGCCACATGGTCCATTCCTGCCACACCTTGATTTCATTCCCTTCCCAGCCCCCCCACAGAATCCTCCAGGTGGTGTTAACCAGCGGAACTCCCCACCACATGGCTGCATCATGCAATACGCAAGCAGCAATTCCTTCTCTCTCAACCGGCTCCGTGGAAATTAGCAGCTCCCCACTGGAATCCGTAGGGCATATCCCCAGGTGGTGTAATTGAGGGGGATCAGGACACTCTGCTCTAACCCACCAGGCCCCACTCCCCTCCCAGAGCCAGGGAGAGAATCCAGGAGTCCTGACTCCCACCCCCCCTGCTCTAACCCACCAGCCCCACTCCCCTCCCAGACCCGGGGAGAGAACCCAGGAGTCCTGGCTCCCAGCCCCCTGTGCTCTAACCACCAGCCCCCACTCCCCTCCCAGAGCCAGGGAGAGAATCCAGGAGTCCTGACTCCCACCCCCCCCCGCTCCAACATACCAG